GACTTGACCCTGTTCCTACGGGAGCCTTGGCCATTGAATGGCCAGTTGGCCATGAGATGGTAGGTCCAGCTTGCCGCACCTCAATACACGCTTATTAGTCGTCCATCCAAGCTTTCCATATTAGTGTCACTCGAAAAGCCTGGCCAGAAGTTGGCCTTTAGGAAGAAGTTGCCCCCGTAAACGTTAAATGATGCATATTTCATGTGACTTACACGCCCAACTGAGATTGTCTGGACCGACTCGAGAGCTCTATATATTGCAATGGGGAATGGCTTGCATGCCTAGAGTTCCGTGCTGATAATGATTTGATTTTGATTGATTTTCGGGGTCGGTTGCTGGTATTGTGTTTTGAGATGAAGTCCCTCTTGATTTCGGCATATTTAATGAAACCGAAAAATCCTTCCATGACCATCCGCACCATCTGACAGCATTTTCTGCGTGCATTTATAAATATTGAAATAGACGTCAATAACGTTTTCACACGCCCTGTCACAAGGGCTTCTCCAGCCAGACCCCTGTCCTGCCCCCCGGCTAAATGGAGAGCTCAGGAGGTGGGAATTTCGGGTCTCGTGCGTGTCGCACCCAAAAATCTGTTAATAATGATGCTTGACATATGTAGGCAGTTGCTTGTAAGTTGGGGCCAACAAAATGGAAGCCAACCGAAAGCCGGCGCATTTGTGCGTGTGAAATATGTTTTGTCAACTTATTAAATATGCTCACTTCTCTGTTCCTTTTTTGGGAATTTGTCTTTGTCTGCTTTTATTTTATTTATTTATTTACGTTTTTTTATTTTGGTTGTGGCTTTCGATACGTGCCGGAGCATTTGAATGGCCCGAATAGCATAAACAAATGTGGTCTGCCTGGCGTATTGGGTGGCTTCGGGTCCACGCGGTTGAATTGATGCTGATGAAATGGTGAGGTGTGAAGCTGAGGGCGTGATTGAGTTCGGTTTGAATGGAGTCGAAATGAGTTATATCAGAAAAATATTTGCTGAATTATTGATAAAGTTTTCCATAACAATCGAGTTTGCTTTGGGCGCAAAAAACGAGGTGCCACTCTAAAAAAAAGAGTATGGAGAGTAACGTTTAAATATTCGTTGCAAATAATCCTTTAAAATGTTTTTTAAATAAATTTTTTCAAATTCAATGGGTAGAGTTACTGTTGGAAAGTGTAACTTATTTACACAGTATACTTTTTTAGTAAGTTACAAATTTTTAAGGAAAACATATCAAGAAAAATTGTTGTATAATAGGTGTTATAGTAAGATAAGAAGTTAACAGAAAGTTAATATAGCCGAGTTTAATAAAAATGGAGGCAGTGTCCAAAATCATTAACTGAGTCACAACCAAAGGACATTCATCCCAGGGAACGAGCAAAGTTTTAGAGTCCAGTCCGGTTAGCCTTACCATTCAACTCCCATGTTTATTGTCAATTGAAGGCAGCAGACTCAGATACATACATAGAGTGAAAGCTCTCTGTTCCACAGCACTTATTTTTATTTAGCCAAAGAAAAGCAAACCAGAAAAAAGGCAGGTCAGGACAAAAAAGTATCCAAGCAACAGTTTCTCTTACTTAATTTTTGAGAAAAATATGGACTAATTTTAATCCTTCATATTTTAGTTAAGAGAATATTTAAAAATTACAAGGTAAAATGTTACAATTATTAACAAATACATAATAAAAATTTAACCCCTTCTATTATTGCTTACTTTAGTTTGAAATACCTCTAGATAGAGTGTATAGTTCCGAGGAAAATGTGGGACTCGGAGAAAAAATTTACTTTATCTGCTGGAGAACAGCTACGTGGTGATTGTCGGGCGGACAGACCGTCCTGTTGTTTTGTATCTCTGGACGGGTGGCTGTATTTACAGGTAAAACCCCATTGAAATGTGGCCCGTGTTTTGTTTGTGAACAATCTGCTTTTTGTTTTCGTCGTCTCGTTGGCGCCAAGCTGCAAAAAGAGCACCAACAACAACGGACAAAAGCACAACTTCATTTTAATGGAGTAGACAACGTCAGCCATGGCGACACAAAACGGGCGCCACACTCGATTCTTGCATGGGTGGGAGGGTCTGTATTCACACCCGAGCATCCACACGCCCCTTTTGGCCACCTAACCCGCCCGCCCTGTATGCGTGCTTTTAACGGGATCGCTTCGGGACGCCTCCCTCCTACCGCCCACACTTCATGGCCATGCTTAATTATCGCATTAAATTTCTAGTATTGGCAGCCATAACTTTTTGCCACCTTCGTTTTATGGCCGACAATTTGCGGAACAATAGAAATTATTGCGAGAATTCAAACACGATTATTCAATTATTAGCCAGGAAAGGACAAACGACAAAATATTTCCCAACAGCATCGCTACGTTGTACAATATTATTTAATTGTTCAGATTTAACAGGAGAGATTTTTAATCAAACGTTCTTTGCGGCGAAATGTTTGTTAATCTTGATGGCAAGATTACTTGGTTACTTGATAACTTGGTTAACTTGAAATATAAATTTAAATATATTTCATTTCTAGTCCATTTTTAATGCATGAGAGGACAATAAGACAACCAACGAAGTGTATATCTTTTCCAACTATGATCCGTTTCCTAAGCGGAATACCTTAAACGATTTGTTCGATTCCCTATAAATTTTTATAATAACTTACAAACAAAATATTTTTTAAAAGGCCAATTATTGGCCAATATTTTTCCGTATCTTGAGCGAAGTACCTTCAACGATTTGTTGAATGATTCTTTTTCAATCTGCATCAAAATCTAAGAACAAAATATTTTTTTAAATTTTTTGTCAAATTTCCTGGGGAGTCGCCTTCAAAAATGGGGAAAGTGCATGGAGGCACAATATGGCCCACAGCGAAGGCTATATCTTGGAAACTATTCATCCGATCCTTGAGCAGAGTACCTTAAACGATTTGTGTATTGATTCTCTTCCAATCTGCATCAAAATCTTAGAACGAAATATTTTTTAGATTTTTTGTCAAATTTCCTGGAGGGTCCCCTTCAAAAATGGGGAAAGTGCTTGGAGGCACAATATGGCCCACAGCGAAGGCTATATCTTGGAAACTATTCCTCCGATCCTTGAGCGGAGTACCTTAAACGATTTGTGGATTGATTCTCTTTCAATCTGCATCAAAATCTAGGAACAAAATATTTTTTAGATTTTTTGTCAAATTTCCTGGGGAGTCGCCTTCAAAAATGGGGAAAGTGCATGGAGGCACAATATGGCCCACAGCGAAGGCTATATCTTGGAAACTATTCATCCGATCCTTGAGCAGAGTACCTTAAACGATTTGTGTATTGATTCTCTTCCAATCTGCATCAAAATCTTAGAACGAAATATTTTTTAGATTTTTTGTCAAATTTCCTGGAGGGTCCCCTTCAAAAATGGGGAAAGTGCATGGAGGCACAATATGGCCCACAGCGAAGGCTATATCTTGGAAACTATTCGTCCGATCCTTGAGCGGAGTACCTTAAACGATTTGTGGATTGATTCTCTTTCAATCTGCATCAAAATCTAGGAACAAAATATTTTTTAGATTTTTTGTCAAATTTCCTGGGGAGTCGCCTTCAAAAATGGGGAAAGTGCATGGAGGCACAATATGGCCCACAGCGAAGGCTATATCTTGGAAACTATTCATCCGATCCTTGAGCGGAGTACCTTAAACGATTTGTGTATTGATTCTCTTCCAATCTGCATCAAAATCTAAGAACAAAATATTTTTTAGATTTTATTGTCTAATTTCCTGTAGGGTCCCCTTCAAAAATGGGGAAGGTGCATGGAGGCACAATATGGTCCTTAACGATGGCTATATCTTGGCTAATATTCATCCGATCCTTGAGCGGAGTACCTTAAATGATTTTTAGATTTATTCTCGTTCAATCTGCATTAAAATCTAATAACAAAATATTTCTTTAGATTTTTTGTCAAATTTCCTGGGGAGTCCCCTTAAAAAATGGGGAAAGTGCATGGAGGCACAATATGGCCCACAGCGATATGGCCCAATATTCATCCGTTTCTTGAGCGGAATACCTTTAAATATTTATAGATCGATTCTCCATTTATTTGTAACAAAAGCTAATAATAAAATATTTTTAAGATTTTTTTTTCTATTTTTTGGTTTCTATTAGTGTTTCTGGAGGAACCATTAGTGACTGCCACTCATTATTGTCATCTCATATACAGTGGAACCGAAGCTCGATGCCTTTGGGGCCCTTGAGTAAATGACATTTGTTCATTTCGTAGAGAAGATTTCCTACGGCGAGGCTTCGATTCAAAAAGGCCTGCAAGTGCAAAAGAACACGAGCAGAGTACACCGCAATAGTACCGCTGCCATCCAGCCACCTAATAGTAAAGGTGTCATTAACAAAGCCCACATGGGCAATCCGCTATTCCCGCGCTCCCCTCGCCACTCATCCCTATTACCAACAAAACCAGGCCGAAAGCCCTCGCAGCCATTTTCCAGCCGCGTCAACATAATTGATGAGTTTGGCTCTAAGCAAGAGGCGATGTCGACATCGGTTTGGCGGCCGGCGCTTCCTGAGGACTGTGTTTGTGTATTTGCGGTAACCTCTCACACACACACTGGCGCGTCCTGTCCCACACATATACACCCACACTCAGTCACACACACACTCATACGCAGCACGTTTATGTTAGTAAATTGGCTTATTTTGTCGACAGCTTAAGTCCCTTGGGTATTTATTGAAATTTAGTTGAAAATAGCCAAACACTTAGGTTGGCATTTCGGGCCCACTAGAAGATAAATGATGGTTGCCTGGTAGCACCTTCGGATTTATGTATGCATGTTATTTGATTACGTTAATATTCCTACGTCCATCAGAATAGTGGTAAGAGGACCTTTTCGAGTCAAGTAAACGGATATGTAGAATACATTTCTTTGATAATACAAATATATATTCAATAATCAAAAAAATAAATTGCATAGCATGCAAAAATAAAAATCCTGGCATCCCAAAAAGGCTTTAAGCTTTTGTCATTTCCATTAGGCGATGGCATAGCATTATCCACTCTGGGAAGTCGACTTGACACATCGCACTTATGGATCATGGATCTGCTCATGCAGTCACCGGCAAAGGACCTCAGCTCCTTGGCGGAATCGATGCCGCAGAGCAGGGCCGCCCTAGTGTAGTAGCAGTCGAGGACATCGTTGAAGATCTGGCACACCTTGGTCTTGTTTCGGCGCTCGTACCAGTCCGCCGGAGCCTCACACTCGATCATGTCAGTGCGCAGTTCCTTGAAGCAGGTGTGCGCCTGCTGTAGTCCGGTGGAACGCTTCCGGTTGCTACCCTCCCCGCCATCGCAGACTTCCTTTCGGAAGTAACTCAATCCGTTGGCCAGATTTCCGTATATGTTGTCTGGCGCCAGGACGCATAGGCGCATCGAATTCTTTATGTTTTCCAGCACATCGTGTATTTCGGCGTGAGCCAAGAATCCGTGAGCGACGTCTGCGACAATAGTAGAACAATCCTCTCCGGACTCACCACATACAGTCTGGCTAGTTGCATCAATATCGGGTTATCATCGCAAAGTCTTGGAGGGGCATTCGTTACTCCCGATTTTGCTCGACTGCCAGACGGGGCGTCGATTTGACGAACCGGATTAGACTTTGGCTCGTATCCCGGTGGACAAGTAGCCCCTTGTGTTCCGTGGCGCATGGAGTGCGGCTGTAATCCATATCGGTGGAAGTACCAGGGAAACCAAATGGCCAAGCTGGTGTTTGGATAAAAAACAACCAGCAGGAGGAGAGGGATCCAGACAGATATCTTTGCTGACATGGCTTTTGACAGCTTGAGTTATACTTAGTAATGAAATATGTTATTTTGACATGTAACACTTTGTTTTAAAGTTCTAAAAGTAAACCAGCATGTCGCTGTCTCCAAATAGACCTAGAAATATAATAATCTTCTCAAAGATTATAAACCAAGCGTAAAATTCTCTATTTTGAATGGTTCTTAGAAAATACCAGTCTTTATTATCTGGGAATTGCCACAAATGTAGAAAATATTTTTGTCACCAACAGAGAAAATCTCCAATGCATACCGAATAAAACCCAATAAACTTTGCATCAGAGATTTTGTCAGAGATTTTTATTCTTTTCTCAAGGCACTCCCCCACCCATTCTTCTGCGAAATTATCACAGAAATTGCAAAAGGCACCGAACGTAACCACTCTTGGCCAATCCCACCCCTGCCCCAGAACAAATGATACAATATATTGTTAAATTCAAAATGAAATCCTTGCCTTTTATGCTGTCCATTCGGATCTGTGCTTGAGCAAGTCCTTAACCAGAAAGGACTAGCCGGAGGGTTGCCTTTATCAAAGCGCACACCTTGAAGGACTCGCGCAATTCTGCTCGCCTTTTTTGTGCGAATTGTCGACGAGTGAGTGTGCCGAGTGAATTTTATTAGTACTCATAAGTTGTAAAGTGTATGGCAAAGGCAACCCAAGACAGAACAAGATGATTTCCCAGGATCTCCCTATTTTCTTCTTTGCAATTGTCGCTGCGGCAGACTTTTGTGCGTTCGCCGCACTTCATGTTAAACAGATTTTTATTGCAGTTTTTTATTTGCCAGAGCCCCTCGCACCCTCTGTATGAAATCCTCAACCTTCTGTATGAAATTTACTTTGTCGCTTATTCTGTCCGCCTGTTGTTGCTTTCTTTTTATTATTTAACATTTTGATGCTGAAGGAAATGAAATATTTTTGCATGTAAAAAACATTCGACTTCATGCTGTGACAATGTTTTCGCGCTGTTTATGTGGACGCTTGCCGCCTCGGAACCAGAGATCAGATTCTGTTTTTATTTTATTTTATATTTCGGTTCATTTCCGTCACGTAATAAAATAGCAAGGTAAATATGCAAAAGAGCAGCAATTTAAGAGCTCATAAATAAAAAGAGATTCACATTCACCAGGGGCAGATATACACACTCCAGCCAAGAGCAGAGTCCCCTCACTTCATTCACTTGTCATTATCTTCATCGTCACTTCATCGGGCACACGGGATGAAATCTCCACATCCCCGGGAATAACTTCATTAGGGACTTCCAATCATTAATCTTTAGCTCCTGGGCTTATAACAGATTGTAGTGTGTCCTGAGCAGGACCTATAACAATTAATTGACGCGATGGACCGGGGCCGACGAACCAACATGCCAGTGTATTCCGGGCATTATCTAATCCAGTCGATGGCGAAATTATGTCATTAGGTTCGGCCATGTTCAAATTTGCCCAATGAACTGTGTTAAATTTTCTGACTAATTGCTTCTGTATGCGTATGTTCTGTCCCGGATGCTATTGGCAAATTGTTGTTAGCTCACCGCAAAAAAAAAAAATAACAAATAAAGCAACCAACACAAAGCCCAAATATAAAAATTAATTGCTTTTTGATGTGCTGGCCAGGAAATAAAAGATAAAGCGGTCGTAAGATGAAGGTTAATTAGAGGGATGGAAAGCATAAAGAGCTACTGAAAATTTAATAAAAATACAAAAATTATCATTAGGAAACTTTAAAAAATATGCCAGGTATGAGGATAATGAAAAATAAAATGTATATTACATTTTGACGCATTATTCTACCTCGTTATCCTTTTTATTATTCTCAATTACTGACGTGCATTATTCACTTCAAAATAATAAAAATCAACATTCATTTTCATAAAAATTTCATACGGCTAGACTTTGCGACGCCGGAAACTTATTGCATTTTAAGTGTATAATTTCGCACATAATTTAATGCAATTAATTGAACATTAAAAATTGAACTGCAAACAACAAAAATGAAAACAAATGGCCGGAAAAGAGGGAAGACTTAATGCAAATCACTCACTCGCAGGACACATGAATATACATATCTACATGATTGTTTAAATCATTTTTCAGTTTATGTTAATGCACTTACGCTCGGAGCTCTGCTAAATTTTTAATTGCATTTTCATTAAAATCAATAAAAGGAGAAACTTCCAACCAGAAGAACTTGGTGAAGAGAACTCTTTAAAACTCAATGTAACTACCGAGTGCACTTCTGCATACTGCTACCCAAAAACTGGTTGAAACAAAATCGAATAAAAATGGCACTTAATTTCGCTTAGAATGAACTTTTTAGCCAGCTTCAGGTGTGGCTGCCATGGAATGAAAAACTAATGAAAAAGCCAACAAAGTAGGAGCACTTGTTCGGTGGTAGCGGGTGAATCCGGGCAAATGGAAATTAGATTGCCGAGAGCTTTGGTCACCCGCCAGACAACAACTTGATATAACTTTTGCAGCCGCAACTCCTTCGGCCCCAGTGGACACTCATTTACCCGGGGGAAAATGGTGCTCCAACTCCCGGTGCAACTAGTTCAAGTCGCTGCCAGTAATTATAAATTTACCCAAGGAATTACCCAGGCGCGTTGAGTGCATCCCAGCCCCCTGCCTCTGCCCCAGACCCCCTGGGAGGGGGCTGAAACTTCCGAGTGGCAACAAGCTGAAGAGATCCTAACTACCTACGCATAATAATATTATTGATAGATTACGGTGGAGCTCGAGTGGGTTTGTTTTTGATGAAGGGGGGCCTGGAATGGGGTTAAGCATTTTAGTGGCAAAGTTAACAAAGTTGATCCAAAAGTCTGTTTGCACTGCACTTTGCCAAAGGTAGAACTAGTTTAGATAGTTATTATAGAAAGGCTATGGAGCAGTGGCAAGCGGTTGCCTCCACCTAATTAAGTTGGCGAGCCCTTATAATCAGGTGTATTGTAAATGCAGCCGACGTTACTCTAATTAAAAATTAAATAATGCACATATCTAAGTTTTGGTATCTGCTTCATTGTGAGGCTTCAAAATTGTAGTAATGCATATATCGAAGTTTTGGCAAATGCCCCAAATAGTAGGGGATTACATTTTTGATGCAAAAACTACTTTAAGCTGCGTCAGAAGAAAAAAATTCTGTAACACTTTAAGCATACGGCCTAAAGCAGAAATCGAAAACTGAAGCTTGCTCTCGAGCATTCCTCTTGGGCCCTTATAGGCCAAATGAAAAGCGGCCAAAACCAAATGCGGAAGTGAAAGGTGTTAAGACCAGAGCAAATCCTTGAAGACTTTGAGCCGAGTCTTACCTGGGCTACGATGTTTCTGTTTTTTTCCCTCTACTGTTTCCGATTTCATTTTGGGTTTTCTCCTTAATTTTGTGTTCGGAAAAAAACGTAAAGAGAACGAATCATAATAGTTCTTAAAGGACGAAAATGAGAGGCTTTAAGCAAGGACCTTGATATTTGTTGTGTCATATTTTTACTTGCATTTCTATAATGAAGCAATCAGAAGAAAGCAGGGGCAGTCACCTTCAAGCCATAAATAAAATACTACCTTATGTACCTTACAATATTTAATTAAGTAATCTAACAACACAATTTCGAGGGTAAAAACCTCTAATCTGTATGCAACATTTCTCAGAGTTCATCCAGTCTAAGCCCTCCAAAGTTATCTTCTAAAGCAGTAGCCCCTTCTTCATATCCGCGCTTTCGCTGCAACTTTTACCTAAATTACAATCACTTAGGACACTTTTAGCAGACATTATGCACTCATTTTAGACTTCCGTCTAATTTACATGCTATTTAAATTATGCTGCTTCTCCTGCTGCTCGTGCTGCTCCGGCAGCTCCTTGGAGGAGCCAAGCAGCCCAACAAAAGCCAGCACCCAATATATAAAGCAGCTTCATCAAAATGCCTGTCTGCTCGCCCTGTCCTTTCCTGACTGCCCGTCGCCTCCAGTCCTCCAAGAACCTATCTTCTGCCTGTTCCTCGCCCTCCTCTGCTGCTTCTAGATGCTGTTCAAACTTGCAACAGCTGCCGCAGCTACTTTGTAAAAACTTTTGTATGGCATGCGGAGCTAGAGGGACGTGGCGGCTGCATCCTTTGGATCGCCTTGCTTAGCATCTCCAACTGCATAAAATTTTGCCCAATATAATTTAAAGAGCACCCCAAGTGGCCTTTCTCCCACTACGCCCCTGGCACCACACCTACATGTATATCCTTTTCCTCTATCTGTCTGTAAGCTTTTGCAATAAAAATGAATTAAATGCAATGAAGCAGCAGAAACAGCAAGGTCCACAGGGAGAAAATTTTATCAAAGAGGTTCCGGAGGGTTTGCTTTATTTATTTGTTTCTTAAAAATATTTATGAATAAGAAATATTTAAGTACGATGGTTTTAATAAAAAAGGCCTAAGAATATAAAATTGTAATTGCTTTAGTAAATTTATTGTTTTTTGAAAATATTAATTTTTATATAACTTAAATAAAATAAATGGAAATTCATCCTCAAATGTTTGCTACGTGTAGCATCATCATTTCACCGCCACATCCGCTGCCGGCGCCTCGGGTCGCGCAAATTGTTGCAACAAAGTGGAAAGTGGAAAGCAGAGCCAGCAACTGGTGTCAGTTATTGTTGGAGCTTCCACGTGGGGCAGCAGTAGCCAGGTGGGGCCAGGTGGTGCAAAGATGTACAAAGTACGGTGGGGTATTCGTTAACGGCCACGCCCATTCGCCTGAGCTCCCAGTCGCCCCTTGTTTCTGTATTTAATGGCAATTTGTAGTCGAAGACGGCGGCTTCATGCAAATTTGCGGCTTATAGTTTATCAAGCTTGCCTCGTATTACGGCTCATCTGCCACCATCCACCTCCTCCACCACCACCAGGAGCTGCACTCCTTCAGGTAATCCATCAGGTATTTCGAAATGCGTAAGATTGCACAAAATGCGTAAATGGTTGGTTTTGTGTTGCTCGAGCTGCCAAGAGTTTCTATTT